ACTCAGTTGCTGATGTGCGCAAGGGGCGACAACGACGCGTTGATGACTAACTACGGCAAGGCGACAGAGGTCGAACCGTCAGTTACTTTCTGAAACTGCACCCGAGAAGTTCTTGTGTTCAACTCGTTGGTCCTACAGTACATTGGTTGATCGCTAACGCACCAGATCGAGTACTCCGCAGTTGTGACGTTTTGCTTCCAACTCGCATAAGATCAAGTAACTTTTGGCCGTTGAAGAACATTGAACAGTTCTTGTGTCCTCGAGTCATTTGGTTCGAAGAGGAAAATGTTACTGCAAACGCAGGTCGAGGTACACCCGGGATGGGTGAGTTGACAAACTTCGTTTCGACCGACCAAACCCAACGAGCAAAAGCAAGCAAATAAAACAATGTACGTATTTTTACAGGTATCGAGCGACTGTCTACCCGACTTTGGCGTCGTCCACGTTACAACCGATTCGAGTTTCGAGGAGTTCTTCGACGTTACCGGCTCGGACGCCCACGAGACGACGGAGTACTTGTCGATCCTCGGGGACGAGGAGTTTAGGACGTGCCAACTCGAAGAACTCTTGGAAGCTCGGAACAAGGACATCGCCGAGTTGAAGGTGCAGAGGGCCGAGGAGGTGCACCGGCTGCGAGGCCAACTTACGGCTGCGAATGCGAAGATCGATAAATTAGGTATGTTCTCTCCTTGTTACGTGTTTACCTTGTATCTCATTGTTTTTTTTTTAACGAAACGTTGTTTTACTCACTACAGAGAAACAACTGCGGCAAACGGCCATCGGAACAAAGCCGAGGTTGAATGAGTCGAAAGTCGAGTTGCTGGGTCAGATGGTCGGGGCGAACGAAAAAAAAGCTAGCCGATCGAAGGGCATCAGAGCTCGGTTTGAGGTGCTCGCCCGGGAAAACCAACAACTGCTCGAGACCCATGACGCTGTACGCAAGGAGTTGGCGTCCTTGAAACAACGTTTCACCAAACTGGAGTCGCAGGTCAAATTCCAGTTTGAGGGTCTAGGTAAGTGGGAATCATATGTGTCACCCATGGGTTATGTAGTTTTTTGTAACGTAGCAAGTGTTTCTTTACAGAATCCCAAGTGAACGAAATGAAGGGCAAGACTACGGCACCTGCAACGGTCGAAACGGTTGTTGATGCCAGCTGCTGCGACAAGAAACGGAGCGGCAGACGTTACAGAAACTTCAGCCTAAAGAAGACCAAGAAATTCTTCGGTTCGCTGTGTTGTTGCAGGACTGTAGGAGACAATAACAAGCTTAGAAAAACGACTGATAAAGTTTGTGACGATGGCAAAGATAGTTTTATCAATAGCGGAGATTACCAGAGGTATCCTCAGCCGGGCAGCAACGACTCGTCTTTCCTCGAGACTCAGCGGTAGATTTTTAAATTTAATTTGGTCGTGTTATGGGTGACAATGCGCTTCACTGCAATATAAAGTATGATGTATAAATTTAGTCAAATTTAGGTGTAAGTTTTTATTACCGGGTGGGTAAATCTAACGATTGTTATTGCTTTCTGTGATAATTATTGTACAATTTTAATACGTGTATTTTAAATGGTACTTTTTGGTACCTGTATTATTGATAAATGTGATTTGTTTAGTGAACTAAAATAAAAAAATTGTTTTTTTTTTTTTATAAATAAAAATGTATTTTATTTAAAATCACAAGCGTNAAATTTTATTTTCAGTCTCAAGTCTGTACTGAAATAATTTTTAATTTTGGTTATTGTCAGTTGTTATGTGAAAATTAAAATATTTCAATGTATATTATGTACGTGGTTATTATTTTGTAAATTTATGAAGACTAGTTGATTTTGATAACGATGCTTTACGCAAAATTATTATAAACATCGTAATATTACAACTTTATACTAATGTATCTAAAACACATTCGTATATTTGTACATACATAAGCATATATCTAAATTCTCAAATTTTGTTGGCTTGTCACTCGCAATTTAATTTTTACTTTTCACTGTGAATTTAAAATAATTATTTACAATAATTTGAAAAATAACTATTTGTTTACCTACTTTTTAACCAAGTGACGAATTTAGAAAAGGTTTTGCCTGAATTGAAATCGGAAACGGTGAAAACATCTAATAATCTGCGATGTAATGTCCTTTTAATCCCTCCGTTATATCGATAGTAATCCATACCCCCCAAAAATCTAAAAACTGTTTTAATATTCATAAAATTCAACGTCTTTTACTATGTATTGCTAGGAATTGATACAATTTTTTTCAGTTCAAAAGGACTGAGTGAAAAAAAAAAAAAAAATGATATTCTGGCTTTTTTTTCCTTGAATTTTTTTTGGACATTTTTTTTTGACCTGATCAAAATCGTGTATCAAGTTCAAGCAATGACCGATAAATCTGAAAAAAAAAGAAATCAAACAACGCTGAAAAATTGAAATCCAGGACCGTATAATTATACAAATGGAAAATTGTCCTGGCGACATGTGTTAACTTTTAAAATGTTCGAATTTTCAATGCTTCGATTTTATGTATAGAATATACAAAGAGATCACAAAAGGGTACAAGAACGAAGAATCCAAATCGGAAAAGAATGGTCATTTTAGAAATCCTATATGTTATCAGTGCCATTGGTATAGTGGCACAGCTTTCATTCGACCATAGCTATTCCTACCCTGGAATTTCCAAAGAATTAGAAAGCACGAGAAAGTTACACTCAGTTACTAATGTGCGCAAGGGGCGACAACGACGCGTTGATGACTAACTACGGCAAGGCGACAGAGGTCGAACCGTCAGTTACTTTCTGAAACTGCACCCGAGAAGTTCTTGTGTTCAACTCGTTGGTCCTACAGTACATTGGTTGATCGCTAACGCACCAGATCGAGTACTCCGCAGTTGTGACGTTTTGCTTCCAACTCGCATAAGATCAAGTAACTTTTGGCCGTTGAAGAACATTGAACAGTTCTTGTGTCCTCGAGTCATTTGGTTCGAAGAGGAAAATGTTACTGCAAACGCAGGTCGAGGTACACCCGGGATGGGTGAGTTGACAAACTTCGTTTCGACCGACCAAACCCAACGAGCAAAAGCAAGCAAATAAAACAATGTACGTATTTTTACAGGTATCGAGCGACTGTCTACCCGACTTTGGCGTCGTCCACGTTACAACCGATTCGAGTTTCGAGGAGTTCTTCGACGTTACCGGCTCGGACGCCCACGAGACGACGGAGTACTTGTCGATCCTCGGGGACGAGGAGTTTAGGACGTGCCAACTCGAAGAACTCTTGGAAGCTCGGAACAAGGACATCGCCGAGTTGAAGGTGCAGAGGGCCGAGGAGGTGCACCGGCTGCGAGGCCAACTTACGGCTGCGAATGCGAAGATCGATAAATTAGGTATGTTCTCTCCTTGTTACGTGTTTACCTTGTATCTCATTGTTTTTTTTTTAACGAAACGTTGTTTTACTCACTACAGAGAAACAACTGCGGCAAACGGCCATCGGAACAAAGCCGAGGTTGAATGAGTCGAAAGTCGAGTTGCTGGGTCAGATGGTCGGGGCGTACGAGAAAAAAGCTAGCCGATCGAAGGGCATCAGAGCTCGGTTTGAGGTGCTCGCCCGGGAAAACCAACAACTGCTCGAGACCCATGACGCTGTACGCAAGGAGTTGGCGTCCTTGAAACAACGTTTCACCAAACTGGAGTCGCAGGTCAAATTCCAGTTTGAGGGTCTAGGTAAGTGGGAATCATATGTGTCACCCATGGGTTATGTAGTTTTTTGTAACGTAGCAAGTGTTTCTTTACAGAATCCCAAGTGAACGAAATGAAGGGCAAGACCACGGCACCTGCAACGGTCGAAACGGTTGTTGATGCCAGCTGCTGCGACAAGAAACGGAGCGGCAGACGTTACAGAAACTTCAGCCTAAAGAAGACCAAGAAATTCTTCGGTTCGCTGTGTTGTTGCAGGACTGTAGGAGACAATAACAAGCTTAGAAAAACGACTGATGAAGTTTGTGACGATGGCAAAGATAGTTTTAACAATAGCGGAGATTACCGGAGGTATCCTCAGCCGGGCAGCAACGACTCGTCTTTCCTCGAGACTCAGCGGTAGATTTTTAAATTTAATTTGGTCGTGTTATGGGTGACAATGCGCTTCACTGCAATATAAAGTATGATGTATAAATTTAGTCAATTTTAGGTGTAAGTTTTCATTACCGGGTGGGTAAATCTAACGATTGTTATTGCTTTCTGTGATAATTATTGTACAATTTTAATACGTGTATTTTAAATGGTACTTTTTGGTACCTGTATTATTGATAAATGTGATTTGTTTAGTGAACTAAAATAAAAAAATTGTTTTTTTTTTTATCAATANATAAATATGTATTTTATTTAAAATTACAAGCGTAACCTGACTGTGTACTTAAAACTGCGTTTCAATCTCCATTTGTCTGTCGAACAAACTTTGACAATAAGCCAGTGCTTTTTCCACCGAGTCGCTGGAATTATCAACTTCGTGAGCAGTTTTTTGTTGCACTACCGACCCTTTGTGGGCGAGTGCCACCGTTTTTGCTCTCACCACATTTCTCAAACTCTCGTCGCACAGGTGTTGAAGTATTTTGTCAGAACAAGAGTCCGAGAAGCCAAAACCCGTCATAAACTCCAACGAGTCCTTGGCACTTTTCAACAAACGCTTCCTGGCTAGTCCCTTTCTAAACTGGGACTTTAACAAATACTTGTAAATGTTATACTGGCTCTCGAATTTGCTCGATTTTAAAATCTCCTCCAGTATCTCATTGCCCGCGTGTACAACCATTTCGTTGGAACTCTTAAACATAATGTCATACAAAGACGTGTCGTTGTTTATCCTAACAAACTTCATTCTCTCAATCTCCTCCCTGCACTGAACCAAAAAATCATCCTCCGTATTGAGAAACACACCTTTGTATATCTCATTGTAACACCTCTCGTTTTTTTGGCTCACGTAAAAACCCGTGAACTTTAGCATGTTGATGAAATCCCGGATTATAAAGTATATGTTGTCCCGAGGGTCTGAACTGTTCATTAAAAATGACAAAGGCGTCTCACCGGCAAAGTCCTCGATGTTGATGTCGGCAAAGTGACGCAGGAGAATCCAGGTGGCTGCGTTGTTGTTATCCCAGGAAGCCAGGTGCAGAGGTGTCCTACCGTTGAGGTCCTGCGCGTTGATTTCACAGCCACACTCGATGAAAGTGTTTATTATCTTTTCGTACGACTCGATGAACTCCGGCTCCTGCGAGGCGTCCGGTTTTATCAGCGCCATTATGTGGAGGACGTTCATGTTGTTGCACTTGGTGGCCGTAACATCGGCGCCGTTGGCTAGCAAAACTTCTATGGCCCTCGTTTGCTGGTAGGTCGTTGCCTGGTGCAAGGGTGTCGACTGATCGAAAGCCTCGCTGGTGTTTACATCGGCTTTGTAGCGCAGAAGCAGCTCCATCAGTTTGACATGGCCATTTTGAGACGCCAGGTGCAGCGGTGTCGATCCGTACTTTCCACTGGCGTCCACGTTGGCTCCTCTGTTGAGCACCAGCTCGGCCACTTCTTCCTTCTGATCGTCGTCGCAGCTTTTGCTGATACCCGCGATCACGTGAAGTATTGACTGACCCGTGTCGTTTTGAGCGTTCACGTCCGCACCGTGGTTCAGAAGGATTTTCAAGATTTCGCGACGGTTTTTGTTAAACTCTCCGATGACGTGGGTTATCAGGTCGTCGCCGAGCTTACACTTGTTGGATATTTTCGAGCGATCGTACTTGTACAAATAAAACAGTGGGGTCTCGTTGACGATGTTCGCCACGTTAACGTCGCTCTTGTGCTTCAGCAGCAAGTCGACAATTTTCACTTGATCTATCTGGCTGATGGCACTCGACAGTTTTTCACCAAACAGCGATCCCGACACTCCTTCTTCGTCCGCATTCAGCGAGCGAAAGATGTCTTGTATCAGTTTCGAAATTTTCTCGTCGCTCTGCAAACACGCCAGATGCAGCGGAGTTTGGCCTTGCACGTCCTGGGCATTGACGTCAGCTTTGTGCCTCAACAACAACTCGATCACTTCTATCTGATCCTTACAATGCACCGACAAGCCTATAAAAAACGTAAAAAACGGAGAGTAGTACAAATGTAAAATGGGGATGAAGAAAAATAAGTGTACCTCTGACTGCAAAGTGCAGAGCCGTGGACCCGGGCCACAGAGTCGAGGTCGGCTTGACAGCTTGATTGACATCAACGCCGTGAAGCAAGAAATTCTTCACGGCACTCAAGTGGTGCTTCATACAAGCAATGTGAAAGTGCGAGAGCCCATCGTCGTCCACGGGATTAGAATCGCTGTCGCTGACCAGAGACAATATCACATCCGCCATCTCATTGCTCTGTTTCTGCATGGCCAAGTACAGGGGAGTCTTGTCATCCGCATTTTTAACCGTGGGATCGGCGTTACATCTCAACAGCAGCTTAACCGTGTCCACACAGTTGTACTCAACTGCAAAGTGCAGAGGTGCAAAACCAGGGTGCTCGCTGGCTGCAAAGTTCACCGTGCAGTTCACGTCGACCCCTTTTTTCACGAAATTCTCGACGACTCCCACGTTATTCCTGATACAAGCTACGTGAAAGTGCGACAATCCATCCTTACTGCTCGTGTTGGCGCAGTCGACGTCACTGGCCAACAATATCAAGTCGACGATGTCGTGGCAGCCCTTCTTCATGGCAAAGTACAGGGGCGACTCACCGTTTTGGTCAACGGTGTCCACGGCTGCCCCCCTGTCGAGGAGCATCTTGACGATTTCCACGTCGCCCAGCTTGACAGCCAGATGCAAGGGTGAGTCGGCTTTGTCGTTGGAGGGGACTTTTCTCACCCTGCAGCCCTTGTTCAGCAGAATCTTGGCCACTTCTTTGCGCCTCCGGCGCAAGGAGGTTAGCAGAAGCGCGTAGTCTGTGTAGTTGTCGTCGATTGGCAAGTCGCGCTTGCTCAGGATGTCCTGGACCTGCTTGGACGTGCCCCACATCACGCTCTCGAACAGCGTCTTCGATGCCATTGCAACTGCAAATAAACGTATTCCATGATTCCAGACGACTGTCGTAATTTGAAAATGACATTTGCACGTGATATAGCTATAGCGCTCTCGAGAGCAGACAGCTACCAAACTGTCGGAAAATTCAAATATGTCGCACAGTAGAACAACTTCTATTAATATCAAGATTTATAATTTAAAATAGATATTGAAGAAAAACTAACACATGAGTCATTACAAAAGAACCTTAAACTTATTATATTTTAAGTGAATTTCGAGAATGTGTTTTTACGTTATGCAATCATCTGCTCTAAGCGATTGAAGTCGATTCGGTCTTATCAAGTTGAATTAAATACTAAAAAAACTCTGTTGCAGTATTAATTTGCAACAAGTGTGGATTATTAATAGAACAAATTATTGTGATACAATAAGTATAAAACTATCATTTTGGCGTTTGAAAGTTGGTAACGTGAGTCAGAGCAACTAAAAAAATATATATATATATATAGGTACAGCTATATATATATTTATAGGTATACAGCTCGAGTCGCTCTCGGAGAGAACGAGCCTTATGTTTACATAAACTGTCATTTGCGGATTGCTTGAATTTACGCGAAAAAAGTACCTGAGCACAAAGTCAGTTCAAATAATTACAATTATTGAAGCTCACAATTCGTTAGTGCGAGAGTGCAATTATCGTTTGTACGACTTGTTGACTGGATGTAGATAAAAGAACTAATCTACAAATTTTAGATAAGTTTATTTTATTTATCTGTAGCTTATATTTTTAATTAGTAAGCAAGGTACTTTGTGGTTTTTTTTGCTTTCAGGTATAATTATTAACCAGAATAATAAGACTTGCTGCCTGGAACGATAACGTTATTTACCTGCATCTGCATCACAACATCGAGTTGACAGAGTAATTGTATTTCTTTGTAAAAACTATTCGGAATCATTAAAAATAAGATACTTCATTTTAGAGTACTCGGCAGAAGGCTGCAACAATGAAAAAGAAGAAGGACAACGGGTTAGTGCTCGAGTAGCCTCGTAACTCCTAGGAGGAGAGCAGATTCCTTTACGAGAACCCTGACATCACTATTCCTTTTTAAAAAGAGCAAGGTATCATTACGAAGACGTTTTTTAAATACGAATAACTTATTGAATGTGTGTGCCTGGGTATTCGATGACGACTATCTTTTGCAACGTATCAATTAAGATTTACTCGAGTTCTTAAGTCACTCATGTTTTTTATTCTCAGGCTATGCTACCCAGTAATGAAAGACGCAGTTCAAAACAAGATATCAAGCGAGTACTAGCACCTGTACGATGATCCAAGCCCATTGACAGCTGCTTTAAACGACTTCGACCTAGGCTTGAAGATTATTTGCATCAGCTCGAGGATGTAGCATCGTCACCGAGCATCAATGAAAATTGTCTTCTTTACTTATCTGTTTTTATAATATTATGACCAAAACATCTTTGATAAATTTTAATGAATTTATAGATTTTAGGATATCGTCGAGTTTTCATAACAGATTCAATATTTCTGCAATAGTTCATCGTAAAATGTCTGTCGAACTGATGGACTTAGTCTTTTCAATACTCTTGTGTTCGAAAGACATTAACGTGAACTAAAATTTGAGTATTCGTTAGAATGACCGAGAAGTCCAATATTGGCAGCATATACTCAGTATTGGTCAAAATTGTTTCTGAAATAAGCCTGGCAGGACTAAGAGCGCGTGCTGAGGGAAGCCATGGAAGATTCAACGACTGAGGATGACTAACTGGCTTGGAACAGTACATACCGTAAACTAAGCGAAATTAAATGTGCTGTGTTTTAGTCTTTTTCATATTCTTAATACTACCTTAGCAGAGCAAATATTATAAGTATCATTTTAGAGTATTTATAAAGAAGTAAATGAGTAATGTTTTGAACATGTCTTTTTTTCAGTTTATTTAAATGTATTACACAAAATAATTTTTGTTTGTATTAGTTTGAATTCTCCTGAGCATTAGTAAAGATGCTATATTCAAATTGCAGATGTATAATTCTTCTATTATTAGCTAACTTTGACAAATTTACATATTTCATATGTATTACTTTCATGTGGAAAGTATTTGGCCTGTGGGTGCCTACAAGAGACAACATGAGTTATATTGTAATTTGATTAGCTTTTTTAGAACACATTCTAGAAACAACTACCTCTAAATAATACAGCTTAGAGAACGTTAGTGTAGTATCTTAGGGAGCGTTTGCTTTAAGTATTAGATAGCTTGTATTTATTAAAGTAATAGGTATATGAAATAAACCCAACTGATTTCGTGTTGTATATAGATTCAAGTTTATTTATTAATACAAATCTATCTCATTCTGCATATAAATCCGGATTTACAAAAAAAAACATCAATTACATTTATGTTTACATTGGGACTCTACTTGTGAATTGTAACATTATAGCAATGTCTTATTTCTTTCAATGATTATTTTTCCCAAGTTAACAGATGATTTAATTTTTTTTGCGTCGTACAGTAAAAGCTTTTGTACATGGATGGGATTTTTAATTTTGTTTTTCAAAATTTTAAAATACGTTTCAGACCTTGCCGATGATCCTGAGTGATGGGGAGATTGAAAAATATTTGCCATGACATTCGTCCAGGAAGGAAAAGAGTGTAATAGAGAACTGAAATTTTTGTTGAATTTGGGGCAGTAGTAAAAATTTGCATGTACTGAAAATTCGCTACACACATCTTTTTTTTTCATAGCTCATTCAAAAACATGGTTTACATATTGTGTTAAGTCATCTGCACTAAGTTCAAAACCTTTTCTTGCTAAAATGCAGTATTGTCCTGGTATCTATTATTATCATCAGTTAAGCTTCCTCTACGATTTGATTTACATTCACCTCGTAGCTTTTTATAATCACTAGTAGTTCGGACCATCTTTGATAGGAATGACTGTCAACTTCGCTAACATCACAGCTGTTGGCAACAATTATCGCTGCAGATGCAGTTTACATGATTTTATTTACATCATCCAACGTTGTTAAAAAACCTATTACTCGTAAATAAAAGTCTTTCACTTCAAGAGAAAAGTTTTTCTAACAGTTCCATTTACTGACAGCTATAAGCAAGTGTGCAACATCATGTCTGTAGAAACAGGGTGGAATATTTTCCGAGTCTTGTTGAAGCAACTTAAAACACTGTAAATTATACTGCTGAAAATTCAAAGTATTGAAGCATATATTAACCGCATTCTGTAGAGCTAAGGATCCATCTGTGACGATCTTTTTCGGTACCTTTGCACCACTTTCAATCCAAAGGTTGAGTAATTCTGTGATGACAGGTACACTGTGAGCAGTCATACATGCTTGGAGAAGAGGAATGATATTATTTCCCAAACCAATTACTATAACATAGTAGTACATACAGTTATTCTTAATTTCCTTGTAAAACTTATTTTTTTTTGCTAATCCACCAGTGGCGTCAAAAGAAAGTGGCAAACGTTGATCTTGTAACTGATTCCACAGTAGTATTTGTTCATTAGACCAATAAAAAACATAAAATGGCTTCAAACGTAATTTCTGAATGTTGCACCGAGTTATGAACTTTTCATTGTTGATCGACAATCCTTTGAATTCAATGAATCCAATGTTTTCATCAATAGCTTCTTCTCTAGCTTTCCTGAGAGTATTGGAGTCATTTAAATCTGGTGGTTCGTGTTCTGTTTCCAATTTTTCAATGTGTTCTTCACGGTACGCAGATGCTGTTGTTGTTAATAAAGTTTCTTTTATTTGTTTCCGTCTCTGTCCTGACAACTTGTTTTTTTAGAATGAGGTACACTAAAGGTTTCAAAAGTTTTAATTGATATATTTAACGTATCTGCACTAATGTCACCACTTTCTCCAAGTATCGTAGTGCTACAATCAGTGCAAAATCCATAAAATTTGAAGTTATCGTTTGTTATGTATCCAGATTTTAAATTAAATGAACATGGTATTTTTTCTCATTCCATACAGCAGACCTTATAACATTTATCCAATTAGCAGTTTTTATTTTTTTCTCATATGATTCAATCACTTCTGCTCTCTTCACAAAAATTTGAAAATGTAAAGATTTCAAATTAAGAGGATTACATGTGTTTTCAGAAAAAGGTAAATATTAAAACCATGTTTTGGTTTTGTCGTGACATTCTTCGATTTTAAAATATTTTTTAAAATAATCTTTCCAACCATTTCTATTACTATA